TTGCATCAGAAAAATATTGAAAATACTCTTTTCACCTAATCAGCATTTGTGATTTAGAGAAAGGGTAAATGGCTTTAGCAAATGCATTGTCTTTTCTTTAATCTCTTGTAGCTGCCACCCAATCCATATTGAGTTTTGAGGGTTTCCAGAGGAATGTGAATCAGAACATTTTCACAGCCCATCCCACCTATAACCTTGTAACAATGCCACCTTTTTACAAAATGTTGGATTTGATCCTGTTTTCACTGTAATGAAATTTACATGTATGTTACTGTCAGTTATCATGCAACCATGTTGAAAAAACTTAGATTAGTTTTCTTAATATGTTCATTTTATACATGTGTTCTTATTTTTAACCAATGTTATTACCACCATGTTATATATATATATATATATATATCCCTTTTTGCCCTAATATCAACACCTAGTTTCTGCTCCCTCATAAAGATATTCCGTAAGATACTTTAAGGAGACTTCCAGATAGTTAGCTGATCTTTTTCCCTAATGTTTGGACCTTTTATTTTCATCAATTAGTATCACTGCAAAAAGAAATATTTGTGTTACTGTTAGGGCTTGAAGGGCTCAGTTAAATCTTAAAGTATTACTCAAAGTAGCTGAATTCTTGCTAATGAAAAAAAAAATGTGTAAATTAGAATTGGTGAGAGGAAAATGTTTCAGACCACCTGTCCAAGTGGTATTTTACTGCATGGTTTTGATTCCTTCATGTATTGCAAAAGTATCGAATAGTTTTAAATGCGTTTAAATTGGATTTTGCTTTAAATTCAAATAAATTTTGGACTCGAAGTTTAAATTTGAAAGAAAAAAGTTTAGATCAATTATAAATATAAAAGGATTAAATATTGCTACATATGGGCAGGCATATTCTACGTCACGAAATGAACTTAGCGAAATTATGCAGTTGTGCAAGAAAAGTCCAAGAGATTATAAACTGCAGTATTTAATCTCTTGAAAAGTCCTAGTTAAACTGGCAACTGAAAAATAACTAACTTCTGGCTTCTTAAAATGCCTAGACTGAAGAGATGCACTTGGCACCATAACACTGAGCAAATCCTGTCGTATGATGCAGCTCGTTAAAGCACACTCGTTCTGTGATTGACAAAAGTAGGAAACAGCCAATGAAATCCAAATAACAAAACAACAAAGCTGTAATGGAAACCTAAAAAATTGAAAATTGAATAAGTGTGGGTCTTACCCTAAGTTAGTTTCACTTTCCAGGCATGCCTTACGCAAGAAACGACTTTTAATTAAATTTCAAGATATCTGTGAGTCTTCGTGAGCGTTACACAATTCTTAAGTAGCAAGAATTGTGATCCTCATCATTTCTGGGTCCTCATCGACAGACTGCGATTTGCTCGAACAAAATAGAACGTGCCTATGCATTTTGGATGTCGTTAATTTATTATCTTTTTTCCTCTCGACCAATGAGCGGGTTATTGTGAAGTTTTGATAAATCTTTTTAATGATGGTGGGTTGCGATCCTTCTTCATGACTCATTTCACCGTTTCACATCAAGCTAGAGTTTTTCGTAAGACCCGCAGCGATATGATAATCATTGAGCTTACGCATTGACACCTGTCTGAAAGTGACTCGAAAGTTAGTTACGCACCAGTAAACTGTGTCAATTTATCCACCTAAATATTGAACTTCAGCTATTATTTTTCAGTTTCGACAGCGTTTTTTCTTTTTGGAAAAGGAATTCATTTCGGTCACCATTTGGGTAAGTCGTGTCTGTGTAACTGATTCATCGTTGAATTGAAAGATTAAGTCACATAAGATATCAGTTCAGTTACTAGCCTTCTGTCTTTGTATTGATTGCTTACTTACTACTGGCTGCTTATCATCGTAAAGGTTGTTTCATCAAGATACATAATTTCAATAAAACGCTGTAGTATTTGGGGAATTTTTTTTAATCAAACCCTCATCAGACTAAAGCTAGGGTCTCAAAATAGTTATTCTAACTCAGAGGTGGAAGCATGTTGTACGTTTAATATTCAATGTTAGCCAATATATTACATGATTATTCGAATTTCATATGGGATGTAGTTAATTTACAGAGAAAGAACCCATGTCTCAGTACTATACGTTAAGGACTTTTAATTTTTATTTGTTAGTTATGTTTTACGGCATCAGGGCAGTTGGAAAAATAGTCTTTCTTCGAGATCATCGCTCTTCTTCGCTTCGAAACGTGTTCTAGCCATTGTTATCATCCTTATCAGCAATGGTGCTAATGCATTGATAAAAGTGTAATTCAGTTTTAACTTGGCCACTCTTTGTGCCAACTTGTCTATATTTGTAAATCGGCTGGGTATCAGAACCTTTCGGAAAATGGGATTTATGAGGAATTTCAGAACAAAGTGAATACTATGACCATATTCAAATGTCAGTCATCTACTGATATGTTCCATCAGCAAGTAGCCACAGGCACCTGTCTCATAACCAGTCTCAATCTCCCCTCTCGAAATTCTTTGTTTTGAGCATGT